TTTTTAAATAAATGTTAAAAAGGGGCTGGGGGTTTAGCTCAGCGGCAAAAGCACCTGCCTGGCAAGTGCAAGGTCATGAGTTTGGTTCCCGGTACAAAAAAAAAAAAAAAAAAAAAAAAAAACAAAACCAAAAATTAAAAAATAAAAATAAATGTTAAAAAAAAGAAAAGAAAAATACACCAAGGGTATGAAAAATGCCTCATTTTTTACCAGCAGTAAGCTGCACTGATATAAGGTGGTTTGCCAATAAAAAGAGCATTATATGAAAATAAAAGTAAAATATGTCCAAAAAGAATATATGACAAAAATAAATAATACCCATAAGGAAAAGTGTAGATGAATCTCACTGATATAATGTTGAGCCATGTGCACAAATTACACCACTCCTGAAAAAGGATCTATCGTGTTAGGTGTGAGAGTTAGGTGTGAGAATTGTAGTTAACCCTGGAAGGAGACATGGGTGATTGAGAGGAGGCAGTAATTCCAAGTGAGTAGATGAGATGCTGGTGATGTACCAGTTCTGCATCTTAGAGGCACAAGTGTGTCCATGTCATGGACATTCATTTATGAAATATGCACATTTTCTCAGATTATGTTACAAAAGTTCAAGAATTTTAATTTCTCTGAATTAAAATATGAAATTTATTCCCCCAAAATATTATAATGCTACCGTACATAAAGAAAACCAATTATAGGTATAACAAGAAGATACCATTTTCAAAAGCAGATAAGGTATTCTGTAATATACTTCACAAAGAATGAATAAAACCTTCATAAAATAGAGGCTTCACGAAGGCAAATGCTAGTTCATGTGCAGTTTTGCACTTTTCTGTGTCATTAAATCAATTTAATTAAAAATGAAGCTATTTTGATATGACTCACAAGCTTTATAGCAGAAAATGGTATGGAATGATAATTAGTACCTGATATTCGACAAGTGAAAAAATGAAATATCCTTGAAAATGCTAAGGAAGTGGATGTAAAGTCTACTGACCAAAAAATGATAACTTCAAGTTAACACATTTGTAAACTAGGCAAAATTAGTCACATTTCAAAACACCCTGTTGTACATAGTGAATACAGTTTTATCTATCAGTATAAAATAACATAAAATAACAATGAAATAAATAACATAATAAAGCACCTACTTCCAATTCAAAAGTGTGTCATTAGTGTAAAGAAAAGCTGTTAAATTTTGCATGTCAGTTTTGTCCTCTACAACTTTGCTGTTATCAGTTCTAATGGTCTTTGTGGTGGATTCTTTAGGTTTTTCTAAGTAGAGAATAATACCATCAGCAAATAGGATTAACTTCATTTGTATGCATTTTTCCCTCTTTGCATTATATTATCTTTTGATTACAACACAGTTGTTGTGTAGATTGAGTTTTAATTTGGCCAATTTGTACATAGATGTAATCTACTTCATTCGTTTCCACCCCCAACACCCTTGGATTTTCCTCCTCCTCCATTTTCCCTTTATCATTATTAATAATGCCCATTACTTTCATGTGAATTCTCTGTGCCATTTTATTCCTTTTCAGATTCCATATATGAAAGAAAACATGCCATATTTGTCTTCATGAGTCTAGTTTATTTTACTTAACATGAATGTTATGGTTGAGACTAAAAATCTCCCCCACAGCCTCATGTGTTTGGAAGGAGAGTGGGCCATGGAGTGATGTCCACATCAGTAGATACAGCCATTAATGAATTCAGTAGCTGAATGTGCTCTGAGGGAGCGGGGCTCTGTTGGACATGGATGTGACTTGGGAAGTGTATTCTAGTCTGTGGCTCATCCCTTCTCTACTTTTCCTGGCTGCTGTGTGTTGAACACCTTTCCCTCGACCATGACATTCATCCATCACGTTTCTGTCATGGAGCCATCCGGCCATGAACAGTAACTGTGACCCAAAATAGACCTCTTCACCTTCAAGTTGAAGTTCTGAGTATGTCAAGAGTGATGAGAAGGTCACTAAGACCAAGTTGGGTACCAGAAGTAGGGCTGTTGCTGTTACTGTACCTGACCATGGGTTCAGGAGCTGTGGGAAGTGGCTCACAGATGGAATTCGGAAAGGACTGGAGATGAGAGCTAGGGGTGCCCTAGAATGCTGTAACCTGAGCTTGGTGGGAGATTCTGGTTGGATCTCAGAGGAACAGAATACTGATAAGAATACTGACAGTAAAGGCCTGGCTAAGATGGTTTCCATTGAAGAACTCAATTACCAGCTGTATTAGAGGCCATGTGCATTATGCTTTAGCAGAAAATTTGTCTACATTTAGCGCACATCCTGAGACTTTGTGAAAGACTAAGATTAAGGGCAGTGGACTAATTAATCTAGGAAAGGAAATTTCAAAGCAGTATAATGTTCAGGTTGCAGCATGGGTACTGCAGTCTGCCTTTAGCCAGATCTACAGTGAAAACAGCAGTAAATGGCAAAGTCAAATGATTTTGAAAGTTTGCAGTTTCATCAGAAAAAAAGTATCTGTAGGCCAAGTGTGGTGGCACATGCCTGCAATTCCAGCACTCAGGTGGCTAAGGCAGGAGAATAACTGAGAACTTGAAACCATCTGGGGCTAAATAGTGGGTTCAAGACCAGCCTGAACTACATAGTGAGGCCCTGTCTCAAAAAAAAGTGCCTGCAATGTTGGGACAAAGATCTTTGTTGCTGAAAAGATTAGTGTTAAAAAGACAAACATTTTGCATCAGGGCAATGGAAAAATAGTTTGAGGCATCTCAGGGATCAGCTCTTCACAGCTGTGAAGTTCCCACCCTTCACAGACTCAAAGGTGCAAAACTGTAAAGCTTCAACTGATGAGAGTTTACTGGAATTTATTTCACAATACTCAGCATCCAGATACTGAGAGGCCTCCACAGCCATGACCTAAGGGGACCTGGCACTGCTTGACCTGGCAGCATACCTTGGAGTCATTCATATGGTTCTTGTTTTCTAGGAATGCAAAATGCAAGAGTTACAGTGTCATGGAGGGTTCCACTTAGATTTCAGAATATAGCCTGGGAGACCAAGAAGTTTGTCCCTAAGAGAGCAACGCATGAAGCTGTGAGAGTGAAGTAAAAAGTCAGTTAAGACCCAAAGAAGTTGGAGATACCAGTGAGGTTGAACATCTGTTGAGGAAAACCACAGGCAGAGAGCAAACCAGGGGCCTGAGAATATAGCTCAACAGCACAGCACCTGCCTGGAAAGTGCAAGGTCTTGAGTTAGATTCCTGGTAACCAAAACAAGTTGCAAAAGAGAGCAAACCACACCAAGAGAGAGAGGACCTGTGGTCTGCAACGAGCAATGCCATAAGCGCAGGGCCATTTAAGCCCTTTCAGTTCACATCTCACCAAAATTTGCCCCAGGTTCTGGACCTGGAGCTACAGGACTTAATGTCCTGCCTGCTGGGTTTCAGCCTTGCTTTACCTTGATTCCTTTCTATGCCCCTCTGTATCCCTTTTGGGATGGGAATATTTACTCTTTTCCACTGTACACTGGGAGTATCCAGCTTTCTTTTTTATTTTTTACTGGGGTTACAGTTAAGCATTTGCCTTGTGTCACAGAAACTTGGACTTGGACTTGGAACTTGTAAGACTTTTGTGACTCCTAGAGATGCAGTAAACGCATTTGCAAAATCAGATGAGCATGAGTCTCACAGAGGCACACAGAACCTGTATCTCTTACTGAAGTGCTCTTTCATGTTTTGTATTTTCTTTCTTAATGCATTCAGCTGTACATCTGTGTCTCCTTTGATATCCATGTCATCTTAACTATCAGTTTTTTAAATGTTTTTATGGGATGTTATCCACTTGAATATCTCCAGGGTCAGATCTCTGCTTCCTGCCTGGCATGGGACTGGCAGCTGTCCTCTCCTCAAGCTCTTCCTCCACGTCATCTCTGCCTTGGAGACAGCCTAGAATGAACGGAAAATGTGAGTCAGAACAAACTCCTCAAGTTGTGGGTGTCAGATATCATGTCTCAGTGAAGAAGAAAGTGACTAAGGCAGATTTTGGTACCAGAGAAGTGGGATTGTTCCTGTGACTGTGCCCTGACCGTGTGGTTTAGAAGCCTTTGGAACTGCTGAGTGGGAGGAGTAGAAAAGGTTTGGAGATGGCAGCTAAAGAAGTCCCAAAAATGCTGCACACTGAGCTTGATAGGAAGCTCTGGTCAGAGTTCAGAAGAGCAGAACGCTGATGGAAATGTACACAGTAAAGCCCAGGCTCGTGAGTTTCCCACTGGGAACAAGGACTCTGTTGAGAGCTGACTCCAAGGTCATATGTGTTATGTTCCAGCAGAAAGTTTGCCTACATTTTTCCCGTATCCTAAGACTTTGCAGGAGACGATTAAGTGTGGAGAAATAATTAATCTAGTGGAGTAAATTTTAAAGCAACTCAACATTCAGGTTGTGACACTGGGCACTGCTGGTGGCTTTTTACCAGATTTATATGAATTACCACTCCCATTTCCCTTGAAAGCGTAATGTCAAATAGACAGGTCAACAACAGACAGGCTCAAGTCCGCAGTGTGTCATCTGACGACCACAGAATAACATTCCTCTCAGCAGCTCATGGACATTTCCTAAAACAGACTAGAGTTTAGGTTATAAAGCAGTTCCTGATAAATAAAAAATAACTCAAACAATCTCTTCCAACCCATCAGATCACAATAAAATGAGACTAAACACAGAAAAAAAAAAGCACAGAAACTATAGTTGGCATGGTGGTGCACAACTGTAATCCCAGCACTTGGGAGGCTGAGGCAGGAGGATCGTTGCAAGTTCGAGACCAGCCTGGGCTACAAAGTGAGCTCAAGGCCAGCCTCAACTGCATAGTGAGACCCTGTCTCAAAAAGGTAAAAAGAAAAAAAAAGAAACTATAGGAAGACATGGAGATTCAACTACACACTCACAAATTGTTAACAAATCATTAAAAAAAAAAAACAAAGAAAACTTTAAAATTCCTAGAAACATATGACAATGAAATACACTCTGTCAAAATCTCTGCGGCACAATGAAAGCGGTTGTAAGAGAGAAGTTTATAGATATGAGCACCTACATTAGAAAAACAGAGCAACCCTATGCATGTAGTTAGCCTACTGGTTCACCTCAAGGTCCTAGAAGATTTTCACAGATTCTACTTAATGGTGTGCTATATGTAATTATTCCACAAATTTTTCTTGCTCATGCCCACTAAATTCAAAACTATGACAGAATTACACCCAGACAATCCTATATTAGACTTGGCCTAACTTTATGCATATGGTAACTTTCCAATATGTACATACATTATATATATAAAGTCACATGTACATAACTTTATATATATATATATAATTAACAGGTGTATTTCTGAGTAAAAGTTCAAAGAGTTTCTCACAGCTCAGGATGCTTTCCCTTCATCAATATCACACAAAGTTCCAAAGATTGGCTGTCATTTTAAAATCTGGGATCTGAAATGAAAAAGAAACAACATGAAATCTCACCAATTCATGAGGAAATGAGTTTACTATTTAAGCTATTCTGATCCTGAGGTATTTTATTACTCAACCACAATTTAATACAATCACTGAGTGATACCCTGGATATTAAGTCATTTAAAAGTATCATTCTTAGAAAAGGAATTCTACTATAAATGCACCCCATTTTACAAACTCAGATTATTCTTCAAAAGTAAAAGTCTGCTTCCAAGATCTGTACATATATTTAAATTTTTTTATAGGTATCTAATTCTACTTCCAAACTTGAGAAATGTTTTGATCACTAAATTTTCCTGATTCTGATTTCTTAAAAATTCAAGTAATCGACTTTAAATAATGGAAAGGAGAAAAAAATAAAACACATACTTAAATTGGAAAATCTCTGGGCAAGTTACCTCTACACGATGGTAGAATAGGAGGTTCCCAGCTCATGTAACCCTGTACAGTGATGTGGCAGCTGTCCCGGAGAAGTGTGCTTGTGGGAGTTTGAGGTCAACATGGGTCATGACAAACCCCTGGTGAAGCCCAAGGCTGCTGTTTTGGGAACGCAGAGCTGTGACCCAGAAGACGACTCCCTCAGTGTCGCAGGACACAAATATCCCTAGCCTCTGAAATGTGTTCAATACATTTGCTGCCTCAGCAACCATCCTTAGGTCTGAAATAAGCTGCTTGAAATCTAGTCTTTCCCTAGTTAAAGCCTTCTTCCTCAGCTGGGTATTTGTGACATAGGCTCCTGTGCTTCACTCCACCGACCCCGGAGTCCAAGGTATCTAGAGCAGCATCCTGATAGAGCTGTTGATGCCAACACACGCCTGTGAAGGCAGAAAATGCCTGATGACAAGGGACAGGGACAGCGAGGTCACCTTCAGCTGTTCGAAGGCACCCATGTATTGTTCCACTGCCATGTGTGTCTGCGTGTTAACTTTGGCTGAAAACGATGCACACTGTTTTAAAGAACAAATCAGAAGCAGAGCTTTTCAGTCACAGGAGCCGTAGGCAGGAGGATGATGTCAAGTGGATCCCATAGCTCCACCTTCTGCTGACCTCTAAACAGACTGCAAATATCCACCCACCAGGGGAATCATGCTATAGATTATCCTCCCTGTGGAGACAGATCAGCAGGCTGTGGGGAAAAGGGGTAAGCTCAACAGTCTTAGACACATTATCCAGGGTGGACATAGCCTAGATTATAATAACTAAAGATTAAAGTACAAAGAAATATAAGTTTATGCTGGCTACTTCTAAGAAAACATACGTTCTTCATAACTGATTAACATTATCACCAACTCACAGGGATTTAAACTTACTTCTGTGGGTTAGAACACCAGAAATATTAGTGTCCATTTGCATCTAAGATCTTTATTCTCTAATGTTCTTGATCCAGTTGATATATTTCAGTATATAAAAATACTGCAATGGTAATAGCCAAGAGAAAAGCCAGCCGTGGTGATGCACGCCTGTAATCCCAGCACTTCGGAGGCTGAGGCAGGAGGATCGCTGCGAGTTTGAGACCAGCCTGGGCTACAAAGTGAGCTCAAAATGAGTTCAGCCTAAACTGCATAGTGAGACCCTGTCTCAAAAAGACAAAAGGAAAGAAAAGAAAAGAAAAAAGAAAGAAAAGAAGACAGGAAAGGAAAGGAAAGGAAAGGAAAGGAAAGGAAAGGAAAGGAAAAGGAAAAGGAAAAGAGAAAAGAGAAAAGAGAAAAAGAAGAAAAGAAAAGAAAAAAAGAAAAGAAAAGAAAAGAAAAGAAAAAAAGAAAAAAGAAAAGAAAAGAAAAGAAAAGAAAAGAAAAGAAAAGAAAAGAAAAGAAAAGAAAAGAAAAGAAAAAAGCCATTACCATGTGTATGCTCATCCTCATGACCAGTGTGGTGCAGTTTTTTTTTTAAATAAATTAATTAATTAACAATCATGCCCTCCAAAACAGAAAACAATGTCTCAGGCACCATTGCCAGTGTCCACCACTGCAGCACCCGAGGTAAACTATTGAAGAATAGAGACGCTCTGTAGAGAACCCACACAAGCACGCCAAAGGGCAGGATGGCAAAAGCAGAACACCCCCCCCCCAGGAACAATAGCTACAGACTCAGAGAGCATCTGTCCTAAGAAGCCACTCCCATTCCTGACACTGGATTAACTCATAGTAAGACATAAAGAGCTCAGGCTCAGAGAGCTCAGGAGCACAGCCCAGAAATTCAAGGTCAAAATTCACACCACTGCAAGTGCATGACCTGCACACCATAAAACTCCCTCTGAAATTGGGGCCTCAGATGAATATAAAAACAAAAAACTTTAATACATACCCATTCATTCAAGAGCTTGAATGATGAGTTATTGGGTACCAATGCAGGAGATGGATTTATTTTAGTGAATTCTATCAAAACACAGAAGAGATTTGCTGAGCACATTCACTGAGGGACTTTTTTTTAACACTAAATGGAAATCCAACCATCACTACAAAGGCCATGACGAAGCCCACAGAGGGACTCCAGATTGGAAAAGCGAGCCTTGGGCTTTCAAGTGTTAAGTTTGGCCTAAAGGTGTCCCATACATTTTTAAGTTTGATTGAAAGGTTTCTCCATGTGTAGTGAATGGTAGCAAAAAAACCGACACTGTAATCTTTTCCTGTAGTAGCTGAGGCTCAGCCAATCACAAGGGGCCAGCTATTTGAAGAAGACTGACATAGACTGGAACCAATCAGGTCATGTTTTCACCTCACTTCCTGTTTCTGCAGGACACTTCCTTTGCCCTGGTTATAAATACAACTCCCATGTGAAGCAGAGAGGTCTCCTGAGCTGCCTTTAGTTCCCAGAGCTGCCTGTTTCTAGAATTGTAAATACAATCAGTTATGATCACTCAAATAATATTCATTATGATTTTGTTGTTGAACAAAAGAAACATTTATTTCCTTGGTCAGTGCACACTGGGGTGTTCAGGATGAAGACAGACTCCATGGCTGGAACCGTAGGGATGCTACTTCCTGTGATCCTCTTCTCCCAAGCTCCACATCTTAGCCTTGTACAGAGTGATGTCATTGTACACCCGGAAGTGGTTCAGCCTGCGGTCATGGCGTTCTGGGTCGACCTAGAGGAGGATGCGGGATGAGGAGGAGATGGGTTTGAGTCAGATGGACCCTGCCCCACTTCCTTCCTTTACCATATTCCTTCCCACAGATTCTCTCGTGGACCAAACTCCACTCCAGATAGTTGGAACTCTTTTCAAGCACGGTGACAAGCCAGGCCCCTGGAGTGGGTCAGGAGAACTGGGGTGCAGAGTTCTTGGGCAGGAAGGACTCCAGCACATTACTCAGGGGATGACGTTACCTGGGATGGAGCCAAGGAGCTGGGAGCAGCACCAGATGGGCTCCTATCTGGGCTCTGTCCCCAACTTCCTCTTCTCCATCAGTCTCATGGTTGTGCACCCCACATTTATGAAACAGCGACCATGTGCTGGGAACTGAGCTAGGCACTATGCGATACTACCTCGTTCCCCATAAAGACCTACAGTATAGGCACCGCATACCTCCATCTAATCATGGGGAAACAGAGCCATAAAGTGGCTAACTTGCCCAGGTCACACAGCTAGAGGGTAGAAGCATGTTCAAACCAGGTATGCCTGGCTCCCCACCTGTCCTCTCCAGCCCCTTGGATGGCCTACACCTCTCTTCCTGGTTACCATCAGAACAAGCCACACTCACCAAGGGCTCTGAGTCCCAGCCAATCTCCTGGCTTTCCGTCTGTGTCTCAGGATATTTCTTCCTTGGTCCCTGAGCAGCGTGGTGGATGAGATTCAGAAACCTGGCTGGGAGAGGGGGTGAGTTAGGACCAATAAGTACACTCTCTGCGTCCTTCGCTGCAGCCACAGGGTGCCATAGAGGCAGAGGCCTGGGCCAGGAGACAGCATGCCCCGTGCTTTATTCCCTCTCAGCAAAGGTGCTGTGTACAAACTGTCTCCCCAGCATTATTCTGGGGCTGGCATAGGGCACTGAGCAACACAGATCTGGTCCTGCTCTCCTGGAACTTGTGGTCTAGACGGGAGACACACACACACACACACACACACACGCACACACACACACACATGCATGCACAGGAGCACCCACAGGAGCACGCACAGGAGCACACACAATCTACAGGTAACAAACACCCCCAAGAGGGCAGACATAATGGGTGTTCCAAGGAAAGAGGGAGGCAGGGGGGTACAAGGGAGAGGGCAGTGGCTCCAGACAGGCAGGGAAGAGGAGGCCTGCAGAAGAGCTGAGGAAATGCCACTGAGGCAGAGGCCACACTGCCACAGCAAGCTGACCATGCTGGTGTTGCTTGTTTGTGAACCTTGTCCACAACTCAGGGGGTCCTTGCATGGGCTCGTCCCCTTGGGTCTCCTCTTGGAGCGCCCCGGTGCCAGACAGGAGGAGGCATCCGCCCCTGTGCCCACACCCACACTCTTATCTAGGTGTCTACAGGTCTGCTTCCTTGTCTCTCCTCCATTCCTGATCAGCCCACCCAGCCCAGGGCATGGACACCTAGTGGTAAACATGAAAACAGAAAGCATTTGCTGAGACCGCATACACCTGATGCTCTAACACCTGCATCATTTGCTTAGTGCTCACAACAACCCTAAGGAACAGGGTCCAGGAAGTTGAAAGACTCACCTAAACTCACACAGCTAATGAGCAACCAAACGAGGATTCACACTCTGGCAGTCTGCCACCAGAACCTGTGCTTCTGATCCCTCAATGTTTGATGAATGAATGCATGAATGAGGTGCTCATGTCAGTCAGAGCATTTTTGTTTCTACTGGCTTTCTGTCTGGGTCTCAGTTACTGCACAGGCATTATGGTTGAACACACCAGCGTCTTGTGAGCTTGGTGAGTTGGAGTCCAGTTTCCAGTCTCCACAGAGGACCCCGAAGCTCGTCCCAACACGACGCTGCCTGGGAGACCTCACCAGCCAGCGGACCTCTCTGTTCTCTGCTCCATCGTATCCTCACAGCAGGACTTACCGTCCGCAGGCTCCTCCAGGTTGTCGTGCCAAGACATGGGCTTTCTGGTAATGGTGTGAACTAGGGAGAAGCAGCGCCAGGTCTTGTTAGAACAGAAACTCCTCCTTCTCTAACCCACCTAAGGCCAGGCACCCACTTAGCACTTCCTGTTCCCCAGGACTGGCCGCGTGTCAGGGACAGAGCTGGGCTCTTGGGAGCACACTTGAATGAGGGTTTCCTGGTCTAGAACAGCACTGTCAAGTGGCCACCAGCCACAGGTGGCGACCTGAATACTGTTAAGGTTTAGACCTCAAAGTCTCTGTCAGAGGCGGGGTTTTTGGACAGTGACTGGGTCGTAGGCGTGCTGTGCTCCTCCGTGGAGTCATCCCTCGATGAGTGCAGAGCTGAATGTGCTGTCAAGGGGCAGGGCCTGGTTGGAAGGGTCACTGGAGATGTAGCCAGGAAGGCTTGCATTCTTGTCCCCAGCTCCTCCCTCCTTTCTCTGCCTCCTGGCCACCCTGGCATGACCTTCTTTCCTCCACCAGCCCCTTCCACTGTGCCATTGCTACCTTGGAACCAGCCGACCGTAGACTGAACCCCCCATAACTGTGAGCTGAAGAAACCCCTGCTCCTTAGAGCTGTGGGTGTCAGGTATTTTGTCCATCATAGAGAAAGTGCGTCCTACCTGGACCAAGTCTAAACAGAGACCACGTTAGTTCTAAGCAAAATGAAGCTGCAGTTTCTCCAGACTGTCAGCCACTGTGGACAGCAGTGAAAGAGGAGTGAAAGTTGGCGGGGCAAGAGGGAGCCCAAAACCAATGTCCGTGTTGGCAAAGCTGTGGGCAGGGGCAGGGTATGTCCAGGAAACCCATTCACTTAGGAATGGTGGGCTGGGAAGGAGCAGGGCTGAGGATCTTCAGCCCCAGCCAGGCAGAAGGAAACGGGCTGTGTGGGCGGCTGGAATGGGGTGGGGCTGGGTGGGAGCCAGGGCCAGACCCAGGGGCCCCGCAGGCAGACTGACTTACACTTGGTACAGAGCTGTGGGGCACTGGAGGAGCACAGGGCCGTGCAGCTCAGCCCCAGCTAGCAGCCAGGCAGGGGGCGGACTGGGGGAAGGCTTGGAGGGAAGGAGAGGAGGTGGGAGCTCATGAGACCCGCAGGCCCTGCAGAGACGCAGCAGTGAGCAAAGAGAGGGGTGGACCTGCTCTGCAGAAGGTGGTGTCCCCCGGTGGGTGGAAGTGGAGCTGCCCCCTCTGCAGTGCGTGACCTGCGCTGAGGCAGGGGCGGGCTGGGGGTGGGAGTGGGGAGCAGTGGAGAGGAGCAGGGCTGGTGGCTGCAGCAAGGTCTGGGATGGAAGAAGTGCGCAGTGTGGGACAGGCCCCGAGGCCTCCATCCTGAACCTGAGCAGGACGCCCTGGAGCCCAGCGGGGAGCCTGGCTGCGGGCCCTAGAGCGGTGAGCTTACGGGCTGGAGCTCCCGCAGAGGCCAAAGGGCACCGGGGGTGCTGAGGCAGCAGGGTCAGAGAGGGAGTGGGCAGGGTGCCAGGCAGGGCCGCGTTCCGGCCGGGGTGCGGGGCAGTGGCCAGGGTAGACCATTCCCCATGGTCAGAGTTCAGAGTGTGAGAGACGGTAAAGCCAGAGGGGGAGGGAGGAAAGGAAAGGAATTCACGGAAGCCTTTAGACAGTATTAGAAGCCCGAAAAAACTTACAAAAGAATTCTTTATCATGTTAAAAAGATCCCCAAATACAATCAAAATATTCTGCAAAATATAATTATCTCAGAATCCTGACTACAGCCAGCCGCTGGCTTTGTGCCTCGTGCTCCGCGTCCCCCGCGACTGTGCAGGGAGGACCAGGGCGCGGTCCCCGCAGCCCACCGCCCCACCTCACCCTTGCGCAGAGGGTTCACGTGGTACTGCGTGTACAGCTTCTGCGTCCGGAGCTCTTTGAGGTACAGTTCCCGCAAGATCTGGTTCTGGTGCACCTCGTCCTGGACCACTTTGTCCCTCTGGCGCGCCGCCATGGTCCGCGCTGTCTACTCCAGCTCCTGAGTCTGGGCAACTGCGAGGAATCCCGCTGTTTCCAGGCAACCGCGTCTGTCTGCGTCTCCAGGCAACTGCGTCTCCAGGCAACAGCGTCCTTGCTGACTAGGTCTCACCAGGTCACCCCTTTCCCTGCGTCCCACCTCGCGACCCGCTCAGAGTCCTGCTTCTACCCGGCTCTGTTCTGGCCCTGGACTCCCTACCCCAGGGTGCAGGGACCCAGCTGGGTACCAGCGCCCCAAGGACACCTCCAGGAAGGGCCCAGCAGTGGCAGACCTAAGATAAAGGACTGACGATTGGGACTCACCTTGGCCTCTATTTCCTCAGAAAAGATTTGGGGAGGAGTCAGAAGCTGCTCCCACTTTAACGCAGAGGCTAGAGCCGAGTGTGGTGGCGCATGCCTGTAATGCCAGCACTCGGGAGGCTGAAGCAGGAGGATCACTGTGAGTTTGAGACCAGCCTGGGCTACAAAGTGAGTTCACGGCCAGCGTAAATTTGATAGCGAGACCCTGTCTCAAAAAGACAACAACAACAAAAAGCAGATGCTCAAAGTTAAAGTCCTGTATGTCTGCCACACATACATACACATTCACACACTCACACACACACACACACACACACAGTCTCATTCTGACCATGGTGGTAACACAGCCAGAATCACCCATTCCTAATCCACACAACCTGGTAACTTCATCTGTTTTTAATTTTTACTTGGTAAAAGCCACACTGTGGAAAATTTCCCACTTGGTGATTTTTCAGTAAATTCTCAGTTCAGTGGCCTCACGGAGCTCCACCCTGGGACACCAGCCTGCAGGACTTCCGGCCTGAGCAGCTCTCTACCCTTCCTCCAGCCGGGCAGCAACGTTTAACCTCCCACAGCAATGAATCCGGCCTCTCCAGACACCTTGCACAAACGATTTAGCATCTTAAAAAATGAAAGCAGGGCCCACACACAGAAAGATGCGTCAGCTGTGGTAAGCACCTGTCTTACTTTTCTCTCCTTGCTGAGACAAAATACCTGATGCCCAAAATTACAGAAAGAGAGGTTTATTTAGCTCACAGTTTGTGGAGGTTTCAGTCCATACCTGGCTGGCTCCAAGGCAGGGTGGCACATGGCAGAAAGCAACAAACAGTTCACGGTGATGGAAAACAGCAAAAGCAACAAGAGCGAAAGGGAGGAGCAGCAGCAGGCAGTCTCTTTCCCTTCCCTTACATTACAGGCAAACTACCCGCCCCAGGGAGGGTGTAGCACTCACACCCGTAATCCCAAATTGGACAATGAATCAATCATAAATCTAGAAGCCCACTCCACGACTGCATGAGGATTTGGGGGGACGTGCAGACAGGAGCCATAACAGCACCTAACCACCGACTCCAAAACCTATGTTCTTCGCACTGTGTACTTCAGTCATCCATTCGTTCATTTCTGTTGTTTTTTTTTTTTCTCCGGTACCGGGAACCGAACTCACGACCTTGCGCTTGCCAGGCAGGCACTTTTGCCGCTGAGCTAAATCCCCAGCGCCTTCGTTCATTTCTGACACTGTTTATTCCAGGGTTTTCTGCACACATAAGAAGACAGAACCACCCTGACACCATTCAGAAGCACAGACAGCCCCCTCCTGGCCGCGCTGGACCGGCTCCTTCATGATCCGTCCCTGAGACCCAGGTCCGGCTTCCACGTCCTCACAAGTCTCCAACAGCCTCGTGCAGCTCCTCCTCCTTCCTGAGCCATCCTGTGCCAAGAGACCGAAGCACCAGCTCAGGGACACGTGGCGGGACGGTGCTTGTGCCCTCTCAGCTGGGTGGGCTCCAGCCTGGGCCCCGGGGTGCAGCACCAGGACCATTCCACACAGGCTTTGTGCAAGGGCAGGGCTGCTCAGAGAGAAAGAGGGATTGCAACCTCTGCCTCCACCCCACATGCTTAGGTCTCCTGGGGGCGCTATGTGGGCTCTGTTGCAGCCCAGCTGGGTTGGCCCAGTGACTGCCAAGCTGAGCTCTGCTTCCCTTGGCCGTCCCACAGCATCAGTGAGTTTGTGAGGCCCACTCTCGCTTACGGAGACGGATCCACTCTCACCTGGAGACAGTAAACAGAAATACTGCAGAGTCGGTACCCAGGCTGCCCTGGCGCTCTGCCTGTACATCCCGCATCCTTGGAGGCTCTGGAGAGCTCTGAGTTCCCTCTCAGTTAGGATCAGATCGAGAAACCCAGCTAACAGGGAGAACAACTAAATAAGACATCATTTATGTCAGCACAGGCGGTGCCATTGGGCACCACTCCGTTCTTCTATGCTGCTACTGCCTTACTCAGAGATTGTACAGTCACTGTACTAACACAGCTGTAATAAGCCGCTCTACGTAGCGGGCAAGTGTTTCTTCCTAAGAGAGTCTTGGCTATTCTTAGTCCTTTGCATTTCCATATAAATTATGAGCAGCTTGTCGAGTTCCCCAAAAGTCTCTGTGGGGATGGTGAGTGGGATCACGTTGAGTCAACCTACACGTCAGATTGATCAGAGCACCTGGGGGGAGGCTTTGCGTCGGATGCTGTCATCCAGGATCTGGACACAGTCTCACCCGTGTACAACACTACCTTTTCCATGTGGGCTGGAGGTGTCGGCTTCACACACCACGTCGCCACACCTGCTGTCCAAGTGGACCAGGCTGTGACCCACTGGCCACCGTCGAGGGCCCGGGCAGGAGAGAGGCATGGTCACCCTGCCCCACTGACACTCTCCATGGGAACGTTTCGCCAGCATAAATCAGCACGCGCCCGTCCTCGTGTGCCTCGGGTCACCCTGCGCTCCAGAGCTGGCATCACACGCCGCCTCCTCCTGGGGCGCTGGGTCCCTGCAGGGTCTGTTCCCACCCTCCACTCTGGCGCTGCTCAGAAACCGTGCCTCTCTGTCTCGGCTTGGGCCTTGAGTCCTGACTCTGACCTGGAGCCGGAACTCCCTGCGTGGGCAGTGGGTGGGGTCAGCGGCAGAGCGCTCTGAGCAGACTGGAGGCCCTGGGTCCTATCCCCACATGGCAAATAAACAAAATACAATCCAGCCGCGGACGTAGTTTCTGCGGCAACATCACACTTACCACGTCACATTATTTCTCACCATGCCCCACTCACGGCGTGGAGCTCTGTCCACCTGTGAAAAGCTGGGATCCGTGCACTGATGTGCAACGGTTCTGATGCACCGTGGTGGGAAAACCCAAGACACAGGGCAGCACTAGCTAGCACCATCTGCACGCGGGGCTGAGCTGGCCTGTGTCTGCTTCTGCAGACCGGGTGGGCACGGAGGAGACCGAAAGCATTGCTGGCCTCCACAGGGGCTCGGTGACCAGCGGCGGAGGAGGGGGCCTTTCACTCTTCCCCCTTCGGGGTTTGGATCACATCATGTGCCACCAATTAAAGATAAACATTTAAGGGCCCAGAATGTAGCTCAGCAGCACAAGTGCCTGCCTGGCAAGTGCAAGGTCCTGAGTTCAATTCCCGGTATCAAAAAACAAAACAAAACAAAAGATAAATATTTAAAGGTTGTGTACCTGCTTTGATATCTGTCTCCTTAACGAGAAAAAGAAGGCTTGTTAAGTGTGGGATGAATGAATGAACGAATGTATGAAAGAAATCCTGG